AGTCTTCGTCACTTTGTTAAAAATGTCATTTATTCAGGGTTGTTTTACGTCACAGTGTGTATTATAGTGCACGCATGGTACAGAGAGGAGTGAACTGTAACGTTTTTTTTACTAAAATTAGACAAACATATTCTCTGACAGCAGAATAAAGAACATTAGCACGGGACAACAAAATAAACATTTAAATGTATTTAGAAATTAAATTTGGCAAATATTTGTTTTCAGTAGGAAAAGCTACTGAAGTAGAAATTAAAGGGGCCCTACCATGCTTTTTGGAGAATTCCCTTTCCTTTAGTGTGTTATATACTGTAGGTTTTTGTGCATGTAAATGGTCTGCAAAGGTGTCCACACTCCCCCCAGCCTGAAACGGCTCGATTGGATTTTGTCCACTTCCGATACATAGTGACATCACTACGTAACCCTCGCCCTTCCACGGACTAGCACCCCAACACATTGTACGTGATAGGCTAAGGGGCGGGACATCTCTAAGCGGTTGTTAGGGTTAGCAAGCTTACTGAGTACAACGTAAAATCTACTAAGGCAAAGAATGACTGAATTTGCAGCGAGTGGCCGTGTTGATCACGTTTTTATCGCAATTAACATTAACTGGAAGTGATTTCTCCTCTTTTACTTTCTATCACTTCTGAATTGCTTACCGTTTTCTTTTTTTTAATATGTCTCTAGGTCTCCAATTATTTAAGACTTTTTGTTATCTTTGCTTGACTATAACCCAAAAGTTAGGTTACACATATACAGCATCATATTTACCTTTTTGTATTAATGAATAATAAGTATTAATTGTTTTAACCCTCTGACGTTTCTATACTCCTCCTTTCTTCCCCCTTTTTATATTCTCTTTGCTGCTCTTTCTTTCTTGCTTGCTTCAGACCTTAACCCGTATTACACACTCAAAGACACTTACTCATACTCTTTACATAATATATCTTCTTTATATCGGCGTGCGTGTGAGAGTCAATGGTGTTTCTTACGGTCTAAATAACATTTTGAACCGTTCTTTGTCCTTACTCTGTGTGTACATTTATCACTGTTACTACACAATAATACTTCTATATACCCTGATATATTATCTGTAGGTCTAGCTTAAGGCAGTGACAGTACATTACGGTACAGTACTATAAACAGCTGTACTCTCCAGAGACCCTGAAGGCATCACGTTGCCTCAAGTAAATACAACACTGATTTACATGCATCCTTCCATACAGTATTTCTGTCTTTTCTTTCAAATATTCTTCCCTCTTTGATTCTTTCCCACATCATTCCTTACTTACAGTATATACATATTTCCTTGTCTTTGACTTCCCTTCGAAATACTCTGTTTGCATAAGTCCTCTAATATATACATCACAAATGTTTTATTTTCTTCTTTCCTTTCTTACTTCCTTTACTTATTTGTATTTCTTTCTATCCTTTGCTGTTGCTTCTATCCTTCCTTCATTTCACCTTTAAGCCTGCGTCTGGATCGATAAAGAGGAGGTGAGAAAGTAGTCGGCCTTTACACTCATAGCATTGTTGTGTGAGCAGAATCACTTTGGAGGATAGAAAGAAAGCATAACTGAAAAGGATGTCTGTGTTTCGTGATTAAGCTTCTCTCAGAACCTTCATTCTGTGTCAGTCTTTTGCCTTTTTGCCCTTCAGTCTATCGCTCTTTCGTCCATCTGTTATCCCCCTCATCGAACTCAATCTCTTCCTCTTTTTATGTCCATTGAAGAATTTTGGCCTCATTTCACCTTTCATATTTCCCTCTTGATCTTTCTTCACCCTCCTATTATGGGAAAAAAAGGCTTGTTGTGCCTCTCTTGAAATTTGTGAACAGAAGTCTTCACTCGTCAGTTAAACCCCACGGCCCCCGGTACTGGGGGCAAAACGCAACATCTTGCAAGAAACAGCGTCTGAGGGCTTCTTAATATTTAACAAACTATGAATGTGTCATACCCACTTAACGGGAAGAAACTCAGCTATCAGACAATATTAACAATTTAGCTAAATGAAACACAAGGGTAATAACAAAGGCTCTGAATTAGCCCTGAGCGAAAAAATGCTAACGCACTTAGCACAGAACTCACGGTAAAATACCCTTATTACTTATCGGATCTGGACAAACAAGATATCGATTAGCAAGCTGAGATTCCACAGATTCCAGAAATATAAGTATCATCACTGAGAATTGGAACTCGCGACAGGGGAAGCAAACACAGACATCACACCACGTAGCTTTATGGAGCAAACACGGGAGAAATGTCTTACCTTTTGCTGTTTCTGATCACAAGTTGTGTTCAATGGCATTAAAACGATAAAAACGCCGCTGAAGGTTAATCCATAGGTTAATCCAATGTGTCTGAAATGATTACTGATAATCCATCTTCATATTTATGTCAATAACGGAGTTTTCAGATATAGTATGAGAGCTACGAGAGTGTATGGCAGCTTCCGGTTTTGGGCATTCTGGCTACGCATCACTCATTCACCAATGAGTAATGTTTAGATGGATTTTAGGAACTTCCCCTCGTGTCAATCATCAAAATCGACCAAGGGGGGCCAGAGATATGGAAAATGCACCCAAATAACCCCAGAAGTGGTTTTCTTTTGCTAAATCTCTCTAAAAAGGTCACATTTCACTTGTTTTGCATCAATCTTGATACAGGGTACTTATTATATGTTATAGTTTGAATTTCTAAAGCTTTTAGTCTACTAGCCCATCATTCAAGGGTAGTTTTCACTACAGTATAAGTAATGTTTTTTTTTTGGACGGACACTATGATTTACATTTTTTTACTATGTTCAATCTGAATTTACTTTAAAATAAAAAAATTCTATATTGATTCTGACTCTTCTACATCCAACTCACAGGTTTATCATTACTTTGAGAAAAAAGATTATTGATTTTCCCCTTTTAGAAGTGAAGTTATAGTCATTTGTTCTGGGAATGTCATTTTCGAGCCTGAGGCCTGAAACACAGGCTCGGGGTTCAACTGGTTTAACAGCTGATGGATTGTTGGAGGCCGGGCTAAATTGATTTCAAAGTGTCAAACAAATCCTTCTTAAGCCATTCTGTATGTTTGATATAAACTAAGCTCGTTTTCCAATTTCAGTGGTTGCTGTGGCCATCTTTTAATGGCATGTTGGCTGAGAATCCCTTTGTTATGTCCCAATGTGCTTAAGTACATCTATCTGAATAGCAAGCTGGATTGTTGGTGCTCTTTGTCATTATCACCCATGGAATAGTACATCTCAGGAGTTGAACTGAGCTTTAATATGGTATCTTTAGATTATGGCACAGAGGAATGCAACATTAACTTCTGATTGGTTACATTTCTCATCAGATATTTCTTTTAAATCTTGCATAATTTAGAATAATTACTAATCTCTTTTCTGAAGATGTGAATGTCCAATACAGGGCACTGATTCATATTTTGTAACTTTGGTTGCCTTCCTCTTAAATAAGTACCATTGTGTAGCTCAAAGGAACAATTAAGTACAGACTCAAATTAAATGAATCGATTAAAAGGTTGATAAAGAGACATTTGCGCATGCTAGGGTATATTTGTTTCAATAAAAATTAAATAAATTGGTGTATGCAATTAAAAATCATATGATGTACTTATTAAATTACCAAGGGTTATGGCTAATCATTTCATTTCATTTCAAACCTTTATTTATTCAGGTTGTATCCCATTGAGATCATTGACCTCTTTTTCAAATGAATGAAAACCACACTTAAGTATATCCAAGTACAGAGGTGGAGGTGCATGAATTTATAGATATCCGTCTACCTTTAGAGCCTTATACCCAAAGACAATAAATAAACAAGAAAGTGGGGGATTAAAGATTAAAGCAAAAGTCTAGTGGAGGATTGCTACATATTGAATAGAAGAATAAAAAAAAATCTCAAAACGTAATATAGGTCTATAAATACTCAGTATGATAAAAGCAGAAGAAGGGAGAAGAGACAGTTAATTACTAAGGTCTTACTGCATCGATGCAGTAAAGAGGAAGAAAGTCCAACAGTGGAATGAATAGCATTTTATATTTGTGCTGAATGGTATCGATTGTCTGGGCAGGGATGATTCTGAATTGTGTGTGTGTGAAATAGTTATTGTGCTTTTGTGAACGGCCAGAGTCTTTCATTTTAGGAAAGTGGGACAAAGTCCCATCTGCCGGTAGCAGAAAAAAGTGTGATTCGAGTGGTATTAAGAAACTTAGAAATATGTATATAATTCTGCATTAATACATGCTGTTAGTGTTTGCTGTTGTTATTTACAATTATAATAATAATAATAATAATAATCCTTATATTTATTATAGCGCTTTATCAATGACTCAAAGCGCTTTACAGGTACACATTACACATACAGATCATACATACATGTAATGGTCTACTGTGGACAATACCCACAACAATACCCACAATTATCCCCCAATTAAGGGTAATTTGCCAAAAAGGAATAGTTTGAATATACTGATTTAATTGTATTTGGCTTGCAAGGCTGCTATGTGTGGATAGCTCAGTGCTTGTAACGTCAAGTGCACAGAGCATGGAAAAAAACAGTAAGTAGGCCCGAAGCAATTGGCAAATAACTGTTGTTGTCATTTGACAGAAGCTTGCAGAAGTTAGAATTGATTTTAAAGATAGGGACTGTGGTCACAGAACTAACTACTAGCTTATAGACACTCTTTTGCCTCCAGTGTGTTATTCAAAAGCAGTACCTGGTCAAGACAAGGCTTTCATGCAGATCGCACAAACAAACAGTGAATTAAGAAGTAGAACAGCAAGTTGAGGAAAACATATTTGTGCCCAGTCAGATTATTACCTGTGTTGAACTTTAGTCAATAGGAAATGGTTTTGCATCTTTGGAATGTAGTTTTTGCCCCACCATTTTTTCCACCTAAAATGGCTATGTACAATATTATCTTTTGAAAACATCTGAACATGTGATTATGGCTCTTTGTGTGAACACTGTACCGCATGTTTGTTCTCTTACCTCCACCAGATGCGGCGTGGGGTTGAAGCCACACAGGTTGCACACTTGGCTGTGACACACTGTACAGGAGTTGTAGTTGGGCGGGTCGGAGCTGCCGATGTTCAGCTCCGTTTTACAAAGAGGACAGTTCACTTTTGGCTTCTCAGGCACTGGAGCAGGCTTGGGTGCCACCACGGGCGCCTGCTTCTGCAGCGCTTTCTCCAGATGAGCAGGTGTTTGCTGATGCTGTTGTCCTTGCGGCCCTTTTTGATGGTGTGCGGGCGACTGCTGTTGGGGCATTCCATGTTGATGCGACGTGGTCTGCTGCTTCTGAGATGGTGCTTGCGGTCCACCCATCCTAGGACCCCCCATTTGGCTGGGTGCATGGGGGCCACCCATTTGACCCGGCGCATGAGGGCCACCCATTTGACCCGGTGCATGAGGGCCACCCATATGACTGGGGGCATGAGGGCCACCCATTTGAGTGGGCGCATGAGGGCCACCCATTTGAGTGGGGGCATGAGGGCCACCCATTTGAGTGGGGGCATGAGGGCCACCCATTTGACTCGGGGCATGAGGGCCACCCATTTGACTCGGCGCATGAGGGCCCCCCATACTGAATGGTTTGGTGGCAGGGGTTCCTTGCTGTTGCTTGTTGTCAGCAGTCGTATTACTGAACACCACCTTGCCCCGTGCAGGGCTTGGCTGGGTGGAGGCGCCGGCTAGCGGGTCAACATTGATCAGGGTACTGGCCTGATTGAGCAGCGATGCCCCAAAGCCGAAAAGTTTGGTCAGGCCGTCCTGGGCAGGAGGAGGGGCCTGACTCTGAGGTTTGTGGGCTGGGGATGAACCAGCGCTCCTGGTCTGGTCATGGTGACGCGCTACAGACTGGTGCATCGGAGAACCGTGACCCAAATCGGGCTGTGACGGTGCCTTGGTCATGCCAGGGAGAGGCACAGCTCCAGGATGGGGAATCCTTGGACCCCCAGGCTGGTTAAGGCCTCCTGTGAGACCTCCAGCAGCTCCTGGAGCTCCAGGGCCTCTCTGGGAGTACTGGTCGGACTTCATGCCCTGCTGAAAGGACCCAGTCTGGGTCTGTTGGCCGCCAGGGTTTGGTTGTCTCTGCAATCCTGGGGAAGTATGAGGCTGATTTTGGGGTCCTGGCTTGGATGCAGGGTACAACTGGGGCTGAGACTGGGGATACTGCTGGGGCTGGGAGTATGGCTGAGATTGGGAGTATGGCTGGGACTGGGGCTGGGAGTAGGGCTGGGACTGGGGCTGGGAGTAGGACTGGGACTGGGACTGGGAGTATGGCTGGGACTGGGGATGGGAGTAGGGCTGGGACTGGGACTGGGACTGGGGCTGGGAGTATGGCTGAGACTGGGGCTGGGACTGGGGCTGGGAGAATGGCTGAGACTGGGGCTGGGACTGGGGCTGGGAGTATGGCTGAGACTGGGCGTATGGCTGAGACTGGGATTGGGAGTAGGGTTGACTTTGGGAGTAGGGTTGATTTTGGCTGTAAGGCTGAGACTGGGAGTAGGGTTGAGTCTGGCCGTAGGGCTGAGACTGAGGCTGCTGTTGGGGCTGTTGCTGCTGCCGCTGGGTGGGCTGACTCTGTGCCAAAGGTTTGGGCTGTGCTGCTGCTGCCGGCTTTATTGGCTGAGGTGTGGGCTGCTGAGGCTGGACGATGGGCTTGGCTTGGTGGGATGGGGAGTGAATCTGCTGTTGGCTCTTAGAGCGAGGCGTGGTCATATCAATGCCAAGAGCTCTCTGCATCTGACAATTCAGACACAGCCACTCCTGGACCTGCAGACAGAGAGCAAAAAAGGTTTCATGTTATTAAAACTTTTCCTCAAATCTAATCACACTCATATATTTTCTGTATCAGGTTGTGTCGACTCTTCATTGAAGCTGATTATCTATACTGAGTGAAGTATTTTAAAGCTGTTTATACAACAGTACCAATCCATCTTAATGGAAGTATTCTTGGCCTGTTTTGCATCAGCTTATACATAGTTCCCCAATGTCAGCGTGTCATATTTGGGATTTTCGGGATCTCCAATATAATTTAAAAAAAGGTTCTGCTTGGCTTACTGGGTCATTGAGGTTGAAGAGGTTGTAGCTACCAATTGTTGTAAAAGTTAAAGCAAATGGAGCAAAGAGAAGGAGGGAAAGATAATGTATGGAGACAGAGCAAACTATTTATGTAACACCTCAGTATGATTAATTGACTTTCCCTTTTGAAGCTGATTGCTGTAGATTACTTTAAATATCATCGCTGACTCAGACAGGATGCACAGGAGTCTCATCCAATCCACATGGACACAGTATTCATTCAGCCAACTTCAAAGCTGAAGATATTAGACAGAGTACATTTGGATGGCTACACACAGAATATGGTCAAGTCTTGTGGAAAACATAAGTGCAGAGAGAACAGTTTTAATCAACCAGAAATAGAGCGAGAGAAAGGTAAATCAACCACAAATTGACTGCAGCGCTGAGTGATTGCTGAGCCGAACCGCAACCGAAAAAGCATCACATCTCTCGCCAACACACATTTAAATCCAAAGAGGGATGCACATCAAGTGACATAAGCAACACACAAACAGATATAATAGGAGACACTCGCAGTCAAATGACATGAACGCGAAAACACCTCTCAGCATCTAAAAATAAAAATAAAAAGCATCACCCCTCCTCCTCATCCTTTTCTCCATGTCTTTCTGCTTCCTTCTCTTCTTCCTCCAGATGAGAGCTGATACTCCCTTGTGTCCGGACCTTGCTTGGCTCTCTAATTTCTCCCGACTGCAAACACACACAGCTCCTCTCTGAGTCAACCTGCTCTCGTTCTGTCTGTCCTACTGTAGCTTTGCATCTGCCACAGCTGCCATAAATCGCGCTATCTTAGCTCCTCTGCAGCCAGACCAAAGCTAGTAAATCTGTGCACGTTTAAAGCGTTTCTCCCATCCCCTTTGCTTCCCACAATGCAATGCGCAGATGTACTGTATCACCCCGTCTGTATCCACTGAACCCCCTACCCCCTCCCTCCTCTTGATTTTTTTTCCTGAGGACAAGTTGGCTTCTTGAATTTGAAGGGAAGAAAAAAATGTCTGCCTCAGTCACGTACCCTAACTAAGCACTTCCTCCCACTGTGCTGTCCCAGCCTGCTTTGCAGTCTGGCATTTTCTAGCTTGACGGCATTACTGATCCCATGTTCTGTTAACTCAGCGACTACAGCCTATGCTACAGCCTGACATCCCCCTTAACATATTCTCTTTGTAGCTGTCTTTCCTCTCCTCTCTGCTTCTGTTCTCCCTGTTTTTCTTGTTTTCCGTCTTTACCCCCATTTTTCAGTTCTCTCTCTGATCAGCTTGAAAATGTAGGTCTCGTTCCTTGAATAGCTAAGGCGGAAGGAGATTTGAAAGTATAATTTTTGCTGTGCAGGCTCCACCCAACTTGTGCTGCCATAATTACATCTGATGAAGATGGCGAGAGGGAGATGGAGAGATAAGGGAGGAAGAGAAGGGGGCTGATTTTAATGAGTCCCTGTCTATCCCTCTTTTTCATAAGCAACATCACAAGAGACCCTTGAATGAATGAAGGATGAACCAAATGATGGAGGGATGGGAAAGAGCAAGGAGAAAATGGGGAGGGAGCGAACATGGAGGGAGAGGAGTCAGCAGTTTTTTAATCCAGGCAGCTCTTCTGCTCTCATCATGTCAAGCTTAATCAACAGCACAGCGGCGCAGAATAGCTACTTCTGCTTCAATGTGGATAAAACCAGTGAATCCTTTACACACCTGAGTCCTGTGTTCATAATTAGGCGTACTGAATTGAGTCATCAGCAGAAAAGCATATATCTAAACATCGATGAATAAAACCAAAACCTATCTGCATGGCTGTGGCTTGTGTGCCCCATCTGCTTGTAATACTTACGAGTGCATCTAATTGACATCACACCATCTCGTTCTCTATTAAATCCGAAGTTTGTAGCATAAACTACAGTGCGATTATTCTCAGTTCTTAGCCAAAGCTTGATTTTAGAAGAATAGTATGGCTTGTGCATTTTTGGTGTACTGCATTTAGCAGTAGGCAAACGTCTAGGCAACATATTTTTTAAAACATCCTCTTCCAACAATAAGCCATGTCAATGTGATGCAAACCTTGACTCTGTTTTTATTAAGGTATTTTTCACTTGTCCTTTTACCAAGGAGTTGTAAATAATGAGCTTGGTGATGGACTATTACATATTTGTTGTCTATGCTATCATTAGCTAGCTAAAGTCTTTAACTTGAACTGCCTTTATGGATGCAGTATATACTATAGAGTGGGACCCCGGATTTCTGTTTGCAGATGGAGCGCATTATTAATCACATAATAAAACCCAAGCCTGCAGCCTGAGAAAAAATACGAACAGAAGACATTGAACCAGGTTTATGAACGATCACCTTCCTCCGACTACATCAAGACTCATGTTGAAACCGCAGCTCAGACAGAGACTTAAGACTGACTAAGGGATAGCTGTGAGGTCTCTGAGCATTATAGTACAGGTGTCCCTTTAAGTTATAGCCCATTTACTACTTCCTGTGTGTACGGTTCACAAAGCAGTCATTTTGCATATGGTGTGGACGCCAGCTGAGGCAATTTTCAAGCCTGTGGAAGTTATTACACGAATAAGTGGCTGCGAATGTCTTTCCTGAAAGGAGGAAAATGAACCCTGACAATCTCAAATGATGCTGACTTTGCACTCTCTTACTCTAATAGAAAAAAGGTTGATCATTTTCCTTTTGTTATTTGAGCCTATTTCTGCCTATGTTTGAAGTATAGTTTAATGACTATTGGCGCGTTTCCACTACAAGATTGCAAGAAGGTCAAGAGCACGGTTTAAGAGGGCTGTGACGTCAGCGGCCCGTTTTTAGTTGCGTTTCCACTTGGCCTAGTACCGGCCGGCGGGTCCTAATTCACAGTTTTTCTGGCCTCATAAAATCGTGGTTCTAGGGCCAGAGACAACGAGGCTGAGTCGGGCTGAGTATGCTAAACTAGAGAGAGAATCGCTGGCAAGGGGGCTACAACTACAACAAGATGGACATATTTGACCGTGATTTAATTGTAATACACGTTTCAAAATGATGCCGAAGTAACAACATACTGATACCGGTTAGTAAAAACCATGAATTAATGCTTTGACAAGTCTGCAGACAGACGGCAGGCGAAAAACCTTTTAAAATGCGTGTTTTCTAAATGGAGATTGGCTAAGCTAACGCAGTATATGCTCCGACCGTCCACACTCACAACAACGGCCTATACAGACATAAATAAACCAGCGACTGTACTCGCCATGACACAGGCAGTCTGTGGTTTGTACTTGTTTAACTTTTGTCTAGTTTCTGAACATATATGAGGAGCTGTGAGCTCTGAGTGCTAACAGCTAACGGCTGTGTTGTTTTTCTGGGGTTCTCATTGAAGATGACGTCACGGCTCCGCCTACACTGCGTTACTATAGATACTACCCCAGTTCCTAAACTGTAATGGAAATGCGCCATAAAGTGAGCCAGTCCTAACGAGGCCCAGCCATACCGAGCGAGGCCGAGCGAGGCTGTGTAGTGGAAATGCGCCATAAGGTTCCTTTAAAAATGTATAGAAAATGTGTCTCATTACATGTCACAACTGCAATTTCTTACTTTAATAATATCAAAAGAATGGTCAGTGAATTCTCACCCCATTAAATGTACTTGTGTTATATATAACTTAACTAGCATCCTTTAATATTTCAATAGAGAACCTTTTTTTTTCAAAAGACAGCATCATAAAGCTGATAACAAATATGCTTTTGAGATCGGACAAGCACAACAAAATATTAACGGTATTGCATATACAGGGGAATACTTTAAGTAGTGTGCATAAAAAAAAGTAGAGGTCCATCTGAATTTAATTTACAAACTCACATTTCTTGAATAAGCCACCAAACATAGAAATTGCTCTGGAAATGTACGTTTTGTTTAGGAAAAAAAAGGTAGTATTGTTGATATTTCCCCCAAAAGCCTTGATCCTTCCTTCAAAGAAGGTGAGATAATGTAATCTTACAATAATTAAACAGTGGAAGAGAGTAATGGTTATGGTTAAAAAACGAATGTCGCATGTTAATTGGAGCCATTGTTGTCACACACTTCCTATATATTTTCTAATGATATACAATGTCATTATTCCATGTTTGTATCATCAGCAGTAAGTACTTTTGTTTAAAAAGCTGTGCCTATAGAGTCCAAATACAAAGGGTCAAACAGTAGAGTTAAAGCAGCAACATACAAATTACTTAAATACATTTGTAAAGGCCCATTTGAACATTATAGGGGATGTAGATCCCTTATGTAACAAGGAAGCATGTGGAATTGCATTGATGGCCGTTTCCAGTTATCTTCGTGTAAAATGTATGGTATTAAATTCAACTTGCATAAGTACAAATACGTAAATGAATACACACACACACACACACACACACACACACACACACACACACACACACACACACACACACACACACACACACACACACACACACACACACACACACACACACACACACACACACACACACACACACACACACACACACACACACACACACACACACACACACACACACACACACACACACACACCTACACACCTACAAACACACACACACACACCTTCAGGTCTGAGTTACTCTTGTAACAATCATTAACTTGGAGGTCAAATCTATCTATTCAAGGAATGAACTCTATCACTATTGAGTCACAAAAGTGCACACATACACACACACAACT